TTACCAGAAAACGTTGAATTTCAAAGACAAATCTTACCAGAAAACGTTGAATTTTAAAGACAAATCTTACCAGAAAACGTTGAATTTCAAAGGCAAAACTCGTATGAAAACGTTGAATTTCAAAGACAACGTTCACTCGAAAATATTGCATTTCAAAAATTATCCGAGAATGTTGAAAGTCAAAAAATCTCGGGCAAAAACGTCGAATGATCCTTTATCCAAAAACCTAATCCAAGAAAAACGTTAAAAACGACAACCTTATTTACCGAAAACCCGAATCTTATACGAAAAAACAATCGAATCGAGACATTCGCTGGAAAACGTTTAATCGAGGTTTTCATCCAAAAAAAAAAAAAAAAAAAAAAAAAAAAAACGTTAAATTAAAAACCTGGAAAAAAAATTTGAATTTCTAATACGTGTTTTGAAATTTAACCATAAAATCAAACATTAAATTTACGTGGTAATTGTTTATCTCCGACGTGTTTAGATTTCTTTAGCCATTAAGAAACGTTAAAGTCGACAGGCGGAACCATCTTGCCCCGCATTCCCTTACGTTTTTGGTGTGTTATCGCTAGATAAATACCCCGATCGATTTTCCACGATCTTCGAACGTTCCCCGCTTCAACATTTCGTCTTATTTGGTCCATCCGACGGAAGAAAATACGCCACTTCCGTTACGTTTACGTTACGTACAGTACCTTCCGGCCTTTAACTAAATTAAACGCAGAGGAGGGGGCACAGGAATGGCAAAACCACTCTTTTTACGGAGAGATTGACGCATTCCGGAAGTCGTTACGGATAAAGTAGACCTAATAGTATCGTCCTATAAGATTTTACGGTTTGCCGAGTGACTTCCGGTCCCTTTTCGAAGGGCATAAGAAGAGGAAGGGCGTAAAGTAAAACGTTACTTCGAGGAGTCGTATCTTGAAGAGTTATCTCCCGGGCGACGCGTTAAAACGAGTTTTACAACGGGAATCTGAGACGTAAACGAGTAACGGAAAGGGCATTTAGGAAGATCCGAGTGGGTGTTTTCTTTTTTTATACACGTGGATCCACTTTAATACGCGGATTGCCCGGTTAGGATCACCTAAGAAAAATGATTTTACTGCCAATCCGGTTCGCATCTCGTAGGCCAACGCTTAAAAGCTTCGAACGAGACACTTTACGGCAACGATTTTGCCCATTTAAAAACGAAGATTCCCTCCCCAAAAAGCGATTCTTTACGTCACGGCAATGTGCCACGTCGCATCCGTCACGCAAGTATAAACGAAACGTCATAGATATACGGTGTTTTCACGTAAAAAAAATACGATTTCTGAAGTTTCCTAACGCCTAGAAGTTCGTTACTCCGCAGTGTGCCACGGCAAACTGGCCGAGAACCACCGATCCAAATTCTAAATCCAAAAGAATCGCGCTTGCATTCTCATGAAACTTTTAAATAAGAACGTTAATAATAAAGTCTTGATTTAATATTAATTTAAATATTCAAAAACTTTCGTGTTTTTTTTGAATATTTCACGCGAAGATTGATTGGATTGGTGGCTTTTTTAGAAAGTGACCCCTTTCCAAATTACGGCCAATAATCTGCGAGCTTACGTAAGAGAACGTGAACTTAAATACGGCCCGATCCGATGGGACGAGAAGGGACCTCTCACACGATATACCTATTTAAATATTTAAGATAAAGCGCGTGCCAACAACCAACCTTCGCCGAATTTGGCATGGAATCTAACGCCAAATAAAAACACCCACTTAAATTTAATACACGGGGCCAAAAATAAATTCAAATATTAAGTTATTCCACAAAAAAAAAAATTCTCTGGTATGTGGTAAAAAAACGTACAAAAACACTACGGTTTGATAAAGAAACGTTGGCCTAAAAGCTTGTATTTTAAGCGCGTTGCGTTGCGTAATTTACGCGCGCCTACGACGCGTCGCTCGTCTAACTTAGAGAAAATTTGTAGACCAACAAAGTTTCGTGAAAAGTTTTCACGATAAATAAATTCTAGAAGAGAATTTCCTCAAAATAAATAAGAAATGCCTAAAGGCCTACGCGTGCAGATTGGTAAAATTAAACTTTTCGTGCCGTAGGCGTAGCGCGTACGTGTTCTCCATACATTTAAACCATCGGCGTGGATTAGACTACCCCCGTAAGACGATTTGGGCACGAAATTCGTGGGCCAAATAGAAAATTAAGAGCGCGAGACAGTCAACTGCCCGGTTATTTGCCATATTGGGTACTCTTTAAACGCATTATTTGGCCGCGGTGAAGAGTCTAAAAGCGCAATCACCCGAACGTCTACGAAGTAGCGGGGTGATCGGGAAACCCACAAAACAAATAGAATTAACGAAACAATTTCCAATCGGTAGATCGCGTAACCTGAGGGTCACTCGGGTTAGGCTCGCGCGACATTAAAGAATCGGGTTTGATTACAGTTAGAAAATCGAATTTCCCTTCTTCGTATTCGTGAATTTTTGGATATTTATACAACCCGCAATACGTTGGAACGACTTTAAAAAGGGAACCAACATACAAAATTCGAATTCTAGAAGGTTCAAAGTTCACACTAGAAGATAAGACGGGAAAGCAAAGGGGTGGTTTCAGTAAGGCTGATAAATATTCAGGCTTAAATTAAGGGTGACGAGAAGATTTATTGGCAAAGAGAATCTCAAACGGAACCACCCGTTTTAGTGTTAATTAAGGGTGTAAAAATTCAAAAAGAATTTGATCATTCGAAGATCCTTTTCTAGATCTTCTTCATTTTCTAGAATTGACCATTAAGAAGTTCGAACTTTACGCGGCTGGTTTGATACCGTGGCTTTTCTAGAAGCGTAAAACGGTTATTCTGTGGTGATAAGTGGTCTAACTACCGTCCTACGCGCTCCTAATTTCTACAATGAGCATAATGTGTCGGGTGCTTAGGACGATCGAGTGTCGGTCGATACGCGTAAACAAATTATCGACGTTATCTTTCCGTTCGTGAATTTGTTAACACCGCAATAGAGGGAGTGGAAACGATGTAAAAAAAATGCTTTACGGCGCGTAACGCGTCGTTGGCCAGGTAGGCCTACGTGTATCAATTAGGAATAGGTGTCTTAGATAGGATTCTAGAGGCGCGTAGGTAACTTGGGAGGAGAGAAACGGTAGCTTCTGGTGGTGGTTTTTATCCTCCTCTGAAAACCGGGAGGAAGGTTTTCCGAAAGCGTTTAGACGTCTGCCAAATGGGTATAGAGGGGCGGTTCCTGGCTAAGGCGGTTTTAATTACAGAGGGCGGAGGGCGTGGGTGGGCGGCGGGAAGATTCGCGTGCACGGAAGGCCATAAAACAGAAGGAAAGGGACGAGGTACGAAACGTCCTGGCGCCTTTTGCCTTTGCCTTTCGGGGTGAGAGAGAGAGTGTGTGTTTGGCCCGGAGTCATAAAAAGGAGTCTGGAGTAAACGGGCCGGTTAGTCACCGGTCCGTGATTCAATGCCAACGGTCGGGCCTTAATTGCTCGTTACAATCCCCCCGACGCCCCGACCTCCTCTGCCCTATTGAAGTCGTATGTCACGGGGGAACGGACAAAAACCCCGAACGGTAAAGTCACGCCGGAAATATTCCGCGGTCCCGACCGGACGGGAACCGACCCCTAGGCTAACGAAGAGGGGGGAAAGAAGGAGAGGCCCGCTTGTCGGAAGGGCCCGGGGTTTCGGGAGCGGAGAAATTCGGCGGATGGAGGGGGCGTCACGAGATTCGAAAGGGAGTCAAACGCGCCGGTTAAAAATTCAGAAAGGGGGGAAAGAGGAGGGAAAAGCGTACGGTGGCTGCAGTGATTCCCCGGACGTATTCCCAGCGCTAACGAAACACTCCCACTTATTAGAAAGGGTAAAAGGCGCCCCTCTTCCTCCCCTCCGACGGATAACGACCGGGGTCCCATCCTGCAATGATTTGAGCAAAGCACGCATTGTTCTCCACAAATTCAATTTGCCGACTCATTTATCTTCTAACAGGTAAAAGCGGAAATAGAAGAGCGGATTCCATTTGCCCCTCTCCCCCTCTGCCGCTCGCGCATTCATTCCCCGCTTCCTCCCACCCGTTTCCCCCCCTCTTATGACGTTTGTCGAGGATGAAATTCCTCGGGCCGGCTGCGCCCCCAGCCGGCAAATTTGCAACCGTTTAACACCGCCAGCCGGGAGGGGAAAGTAGAGGGAAGACCGAAAGAAAAGGGGGCGGCGGCGGGCCCGGACTTAGGGAAAAATCTGTGTGCGCGTGGCGGTCGCCCCGGGCCGTCCGCCAGGAATATTCGGTAGACTTTCGGTGGGCAAACAGAGAGGATTTTAATGTCAACAGCTCGATGAAGACGAGACGCTCGGCCGCTTTCGGTCGTCTGTGATTACCCGGACGAGCGAGCTCTTGCCTTGTTTTTCTAATCCCCAGAATGGGACCGGCCTTTAATTGAATTACCTTCCCTTTTTCCTCCAGGCACGGCTTCTTTCCCCTCGGGCGCTCCCTAATTATCGTGCAGCGTCCGGGAACAAATCCACTCGCATCTAATTCAAGAGCTCTTACAAATTGCTGTCCTAATTGCGTTAGAAGGTAATACTCTTCCCGCTCTTCCGCTCTACTTTTTTTTTTTTTATATTCCTTCTTCCTACCCCCGTTTTATACGGAATACAAACTGCGCCATTATCGTCTAACGGCCCTCCTTCCGGCCCGCTCTCGGCCCGGTTCGGGATTCTCTCTTCCCGACTTCCGCTCCGAAAGGGGGACATTAAAAAAAAAAGGGGTGGACTCGCCACCTCCGGATGGAAGGGCTCCTCAAGCGCGCGTGCGCCGGGACCCTTCTCTCTTTCGGTTTCCCGAGTAACGGGGAGGGAGGAGCGCCATTGGCTGCCGACGCGACTCGGATCGGCTTGGGTGTGGCCGGTCCGAGTTTTTTTTTGTTTTGTTTTTTTTTTCGTAGAAAGACGGCACGGACCGGAAACGGAAACGGAAGTGGCGCGCGCGAGTTTCCGACTCACCTGTGTGGATGTAGGTGTGCTTCTTCATGTCGGACTTCTGGTGGAACCTCTTTCCACAGTATTGGCAAGGGTAGGGCCTGGTGTCCGAGTGGATCAGCAGATGGGTGGACAGGGTGGACGATCGCTTGAAGCTCTTGCCGCACTGTTTGCACTCGAAACTTCTCTCGGCCGTGTGAATGGCTCGGTGTTGACTAAGACTCACTTCGTGTCCGAAGGTTTTGTTGCACAGTTCGCAGGCGAAGGGCCTCTTCCCGCTGTGGGATCGTCGAGCGTGCACTTCTAGTCCGTGCGGAGTGCTGAACATCTTGTCGCACTTGACGCACGAGTACACGTCGGCCACCGAAAGGGGTTTGAGTCCGTCCGACGCCTGTCCCGCCGTCGGTACCGGTTTCGGTACCGTCAAGCGGTAGAAGGGAATTCCGAAACAGGTGCCCAGTCCGGGCGCCAAGGGTCGATAGAACTTGTCGTTGGAAGGAGTCGCCGAAGTCGAAGACAGGGAGGCGTCGCCGGCCGCGCCCACTCCCAAACCGGGAGGCGGCGAGCGAAGGAGGCCTGACGAGTGGTAGTCGCCGAGATTCAGGGGTCGACCCAGGAAGTCCTCTCCCCACGTGGCCAGTGTCAGGGAACGAAGGTCACCCGGACCGGGTAGAGAAGGCAGGTAGGCCGACAGTTGCTGCTTGGAACCGGACGACGAAGGAGAGTGGTCGCTGCGTCCTACGTTCCTGCTCTCTTCCGATTTGTTTCCTGCAACAGAAAGACCGTCACTACCAATTGCCAAAAATAAACCGCGAAAAATAACCGATTTTCCCACCTTTCCCGCCCAACAGCCGCGTATAAAACCGCTTCCAGGACGTTCGTTTACGGATAGGAACCCGAATAAAGTATAAATATTCCGGGCGGAGAACCCTCCCTTCCGAAAATATTTTACGGATTCCACCGGAAAAAAACCCCAAAAGGGTTCTCCCAACTTACAAGTCGGATCCATTCGCAGAGATAACAATTTTTCCGGTGTTATATACCATTTGCGCCCGCAAAGAAACAAATACGTAACTGGCCAAGGACAATTTAAGAAGGGCAAGTTAATAAAAAGGGGGTGTCCTACGGGCTGGAAATGCGGATCGAAATAGGGAAAGTCCGTTAAAGTTTAAGGGAACGAGTCTTTAAATCTTTAGCCACTCAAACTTTGCTTTCGTTGATCAATTTAAACCATTCCTAAACCGATTTACTAAGGTAAAATTGGGAAGCTTGGGGTCCCCTTCCTGTACTTTTAAAAGGAAGAGATCTAGCGGTAAACGGTGTATTAATGTCACCGTGGCCAACCCCGATATAAAGTAAACTGGTCGAAATTCGAAAATTTGACGGGGGGATGGATGGTCGATGGAGGAAGAGGAAGAGGAGGAGGAGGAGGAGGGCGAGCGGCGTAAAGGTTCTTAACGGTAAGTAATAAATGTTACGTCGGTTTGATATCCAATTTGTTGGCTCTGGAAGTAAGAAGCTAAATTAGATTGTCGAGTTAATTAAAATTAAATCTGTAGCCATCTTATTCGTTTGAGTCGCGCGCGCTCGACTCGAACCCATCGACTCGGCCTGGGCGCTTCGACTCGACGTTTCCACCAACCTGGAGAACGTCGGCGGTGGCCATTTTTAACTTAAATTACTCAATTTTAACTTATTTAACCTCAGAATTTAACGTCGGGGAACACTTTAAATGACGCCGTGCGTACAAAGTATCGTTCTCCCGTTTCGAGGGGACGAAATTTTGCGCGTGCGACGACCCGAACGTGGAACAAAAAGTGAGGAATTTGCTTGTTGGATGAGTAAAAACACGAAGGTAAACGGGAGGGGTGACGTGAAAAGGTAGATTGAGTGAGGAAGAGTGAGGGAAGGAGGGAGAAAAGAGTAGGAGAGATCGTAGAAAGGTAGCGCGATCCCGTCCGGGGGGTTTTAATGGTCGTCCGAGTCGAGTCCGTGACGGGGGACGTCCCACAAAAGCTTAATCGGACCGAGCGCGTAAACACATTAGCCGCAGTTCCGCCGGTCGCGTGACCGACCGTTTCGACCCGGAAGCGCCTTTTACGGTGGTGGCGCGCGCTTCCGCTGCGTCCGCGACCCTCGACCGGCTATTTGTATCGCGTGCCACTCGGCCGCGAGAGCGTCGTCCCCTTTTGTAAATATTGGCGAGAGAGTAGTCGATTCGATCGCCCGCACCCCCCATTCCTCCCCCTCCATCGATCTCCGGGGTCCTTTCCGGACCTGGAGGGCCCCAGAAACAGAAGTAGGGCTCCCCTTTCCGACGGGGAGCCAGGGGGCCCACCCGCGCCGCTACCCGTCGCTCGCTGGCTATTAAATTAAGGCCGTCGTCTCTCGGCCGGGACCGTTTGTCCGGCGTCATCCAGACACTACCCAGTCGACCGGCCATAAATCAAGCCGGCCTGCGCCCGTAATTATATTTCCCGGTATGTCGGGGACAGCTGAATGGGGAGGTAGAGTAATGGAGTGTAATATGTCACAAGATCATCCGTCTCTCCCGTTTTTAAGACGGACGTTTGGCAGATGAGTGGACTGGCGCGCCACGCTTCATCGGAGAATTATTCCGTCCGGATGCCTACGCGGCTTATTACGTCGGGTGGCCCCGACGTCCCTTTTCTCCTCCCGCCCGCCGGAGAGGGGAAGGGGGAAAGGGAGAAAGACCCGATCGGGCCGAGCGCTCGACCGCCATCTTTCTTCCTTCCCCGCGCCTAGAACAAGAGACAAAAACGCGTATCGAGCGCGCGGCGCGGGGGGATTAAGGGGCGGTGAGAAACGGCATTTGGCGATAAGCCGCTCGGCCGAGTGCGCCCTCCGCACGGCCGACGGGGCCCGGGGCCGTATGCTTTCCGAGGGAATAAGCGTCGGCTTTAATTTGGTATCGGATGCGTCTGTGGCGCCTGCTACTTTCCCACGTCGGGTCGCGAGTCGGCGCCCCGCAGATATTGACACAAGGTGGCGGAGCGGTAAGATTGAGGAGAGAGAATCCGGACGCCCTCCCTTCGCTTCCCTTCTCTTAATCGCGTTCGTCGGTCGGTTCGTCGCGCCCGAGGCCTTCGGCGGCCCAACTTAGATTGAGAGCCTGGGGCCATCCCCGATTTTTGGCGCGTCGCGTACCGTCGGCGCGCCAGTCGACCGCGAGTCACCCACTGCTAAATCGCTCTTCACTCCCGAAAAGGTTAGGCCACGGCTTTCCTCTTCCGTTTCCAGCATTCGAAAACCAGGGAAGAACATTTTAATAATTAGGAACGAGAGGAGCGGGAGCGCATCCCTAGGATCCTAAGAGAAAACACCCTAAAGGGTCAGAGAATCCCTAAAATGGCAAACTCTCGTAGGGAAGAAAAGGGAAGAAGAAAGGTTCCAATTGTTTAATGCCAATTTAAATGTCCTAATTCTAGAATAGAAGAAGCTTTAGTAAAGGGTGAGCCAGAGCCGAACCCATTGTATTTTATGCACCCCTAGCCTACGTGTTCTCGCGCGGTTTAACTATTTATAGAACTAAAAACCAACTTTGTTCGTCCCCCTAATTTATTCGATAAGTTCGGGATTAAATAGTAAAAAAGAAGAGTAAAGAAAGGTCCAAACAAAATTCGACTTCGCCCCCTTTCTGGTAAGAGAAAGAGAGGATTCGGAGAAAGAAGAAGAAGAAGAAGAAGGGAGGGGGGAAAAGAGAATAAAAGTTATTCGGTGCCAGGACGGTTACCAAAAATACGAAGCTCGATACACAAATACTTTTAAAAAGAGGGCGGAAGGGAGGGGTGGAATACATTTTTTAGTAAGAGACTCGTGGCTTGTAGTAGTATAAGAAGCGGAAAGCCATGGGATCGGAGGAATTTCTAAAGAAAAAACATAAGCGGGGAAGTGCAAATTTGCGGGTCTGTCGATAGCGAGTAACACAGATCGAAAGGACCCTCGAAAAATAACGATTTTCGGAGAAACGGGTGGAGAAATATCGACTACCTACTTCCGGAGCGATCGACTTTAAAATACCTTCTTATAAATATCGGAGGAGTTAAAATGTGTGACAGAAAAGTAAAGATTTTCTCGGTTCACGAATCCGGACTCCTTTCCCGAAAAGGATTCATTGTTGAAGAAGAAAGATGGGCTAATTCGGGAATATACTAGTTTCTATCGCACGCGGCAAGGAAACATACGTCATCCCCTTTGTTTCTATAGGCGATTTTCTCTCTTCCCTTAAAAGGAATAATAGAGCACGCGCGTGTTTTCTACCCTTTCCCATGTTAGGCCTGGGAAAAAGACACAAGATCCGATCTCGTGAAGGGAGCCAACACGAAAATTTTGCTTAAAATTCGATCCTTATTGTATGAATCTCGGGTATTGTACCTTTCCGTATTCCGAGAGGAGGGAGAGGAGAGGGAAGAATTCCGAAAATTGCCAATTCCCTAACAGGTCGTATTCATTAGACGACGGCAGAGCGGGTACCCAAATAGGGTGGTTGTTAAAAATAACAAAATAAAGAGAGAAACGTTTCCTTTCCTTATTTGTTATTTCTACGGAGGATGGAAGTATTATTATTGTTATTACTATTATTAATTTAGAAGCGGCATTCGATCTCTCCACTCCTCTCCAACAATGTGGCGCGCGGATTCTCCGGAAAAATTACTTTTCCTCTTTTTTTCTAAAGGAAGATCGGGTTTCGGGATCTACGTTATTAAAATTTTCGTTCGTTCCCGTAACGGCCACGGGGGAAGGAAGGGCGCCCTAGTCGTTCTAAGCCCCGTAGGCCGTTAATTAAATGAGAGATTCCGGTTAGGAAAAGAGTGCCGGTTGCTTCTGTATGAGGAAATTACGCGTTAGTATCGACGCGTAACGCCGTAAAACGAGATTTTTTTTGGTTGTCGGCGTAAATCGGCACGTGTTCGCGCACGAGACGGGTAGTCTCGAAGAGTTTCCGGTTCCTCTTCCGACCGGAAACGTTCGGTCTTCGCGCGTGGTAGAGGAATCGGAAATCCGACGCGGCGCGAACCGGCCGCGCGAAGAGGAAGAAAAATGACGAAGGTAGCCGAAAACGCACCGAATTTCCGGTTCCGTTTCGTCTTTAACCCGATTAATCTTCTACCGGATTTTCTTTTATCGCCCAAAGTTAAACGAATCGATCGTCGGACCGGAATCTCGACGCCGTCGCCAGAGAGGGAGAAGATTTCGGTACGGAACTCGAGACGGGGTGCGCCAATATTGCGTAAGGGTGGATTTTTTCCTCATCCCACGTGGCCCGGAGGTAAGCGACGTATACCGTTCTATCGCTTTCCTCACGTAGACAAACTTCTATACGCAGGATGGAGGGACAATTGTAAAAACTCCCTCCACCGTATTCTCCGGGGGTAGTCGGAAACTTCCCTAGGTTGCGAGTAAAAAGGGGGTGACCGTTCGCGCCCGGCGCTACGCGGGCCGCGTGGTCGACGGCGGCGACGGCGCGAGGACGGAGAAGCATTTAGCGAAGGGAGCGATAAATCTGCAAATCCGGGCGCCCGACGGAGGAATATTAATGGAGTCGGCCGGTTTAAGAGAGTTTCGTTAATGAGGCAATGAAACGCCGCGGTCCTTCATTAAGCGCCGAGTAATGGACACGCCGCCGGCCGTAATTAAAGACGGCGCCGCTGCCCCGGCGCGGCGCGCGCGTCGCTCGCCGCTACGGTCTTCGGGCCGAAAGACGGCGAAGATGGGAGCGCCGGCGGCCCGGATACCGGCGCGGCGCCGGAGCCCGAACGGACGGCGTCGATGGCCTTCGATCGGCCGGCGGTGTCGAATTCCCGGCCGTCCGCCGTAGCGGCGAGCAACGAATTTCTCCTCCCCCGCGAGACCCGGCGCGCGCTCTTGCTCGGCCGGGAAATCACACATCCCGAGGTAAATGCGCCTCGCGAGGATCCCGCTCTCCGGAAATCTAGTTTAATCTGCCTACAGCAATTGAAAATTTACATACATCAGAGCCGAATAAAGAAACGGATAGGGCCTCTGGGATGCGGAGCGCCGCCGAAGTTTCGGGCCGACTCCGGCCTTCCCGAAAACAATCATCGTGATTTATTCGTCTGGCGCGCTCCTCTCTCCCACCCGCGTCGCCGGCCGCGTCGCTCGCGCCGTCCATTAGCTAACCTTTTACCCTCCGAACGCGCGACTAATGTCCTCCGACGCGTCTCGCCAGGGATTGACGCGTCCGTACCCCTATGAGGATTATCGTCCGGCCGACTCGCGCCGTCGCCTTCCCCCCAAACGAACGTCCCACCCGCGCTAACCGCGTTAGTCGCTCCCGATCGCGTTTAACGGCATCCAGCTCTTCCGCACTTATCACTCCTCCTGTCTAATTAACGGACGCGGATGGCCGCATCCGACCGCGCGCGCCACCCCAAACTTGATATTAGCTACGCGACGACCAACGAACTGACGGATCTCCCCCGACGCACGCGAGAGTTTGCGATGCGCCAGGAAAGTTCCTATTCTGTCGGTTCCAGGGAGTTTTAGGAAGAAGGAGAGAAGTAGAGAAGACGGCACTTACCTGAAGAAGACTGGGAACAGGCGTCGAGGAAGCCGTACGGCGGCAGGTAATGATGAAAGAGTGGAAAGAGGGGGAAGGCAGGCTCCACGCCTCCCGACGCACCAGCCTTGAGGCCCAGAGTTCCGGCCGCCCCGCACCACAGGCCCGGATAGTAGGTGGGGAGACCCTCGGCCGAGAAGAGGGGGAGGGCCGGCCCGACGGATGCTCCCAGACTGGAGACGGGGAAGGAAGGACCGGAATCTGAAAAAGAGAGAGAAAAAAAAGGGCGAATTTAGCGCCGTCCGACGGACGTTATTAAGGAAAGTGGCCAACTAGTCGCCGTTTATCCCGGCAAATCAATCCGGCGGTAATTTGACTAGCCGCTTCGCCCGCCATCTCCGGGGAAATCAGGACGTCGGCCTTCTCTAACGAAGCGAATGAATATAAAAGTACGCGGGGGACTCCCTCCTCCGCTCGTTACTTACGCCGGACCTTTCTCGCGACGCGTCGGAAGCGAAGTCCCCGCGCGCCCGTCCCCTTTCGGACTCTTTCTAACACCCACCGTCCGGAATCTTTCGAGATTCGCCCCCTCTCTATCGAACCCTTTTCCTGTCCCCCTCCGTTCTAATTCCGTTAAGCATTAGTGGCTCGAATTTGACCGAATCCCGTCAACCGGAAGTCCTTCGATCACTTCCGATTCGACTGGGACTTAAAGAAATTTCCCTCCCAGAACGTCTCGAATTAAATTTCCTTTTAAAGGTTTTTAATTAAACGGATTGCCGATACGCTCGGACTTCTTTTTTTTTTTTTGGAATTTCGCGGGACGGGGCCCCAGGAATCTAACGCGGAAGTGGTTCGTAGCGCGTGACTTCCGGCCGCCCGGGCCTGGCCTGCCTGGAAGAGTTCTCTCGGAATGTTTTTGAGTTTTCTTTTACACTCGAAACCGTTGGTTTTCTTCTCCCCATTACCGATTTAGATGAGAAAGACCTGATAGAAAAGGGCTCGAGTATGGCACGGTGGTCGAAGAAGAGGTTTTCTTAGTTCGTCCCTTCCGGCTTTCCTTCCTTCTTTCCTGGGTCCGGTTGGAGGGACGGGGTGGTTTTCATTCCCTTTTTTAAAACGAATTTTTGGAGGGTCGCTGATAGACCAGGATGGGGAAGCGGCGGAATCGGAATCCGAAGAAGAAGGGAAGGAAACGGGCGATTCTGGAAGCCGCGGTGTGGAACAGTCGGGAAGGAAGGGGGCGAGAAAAGCGAAACTAATTGAGAGGAAGAAGAGGCGCCGGGCTCCGAGGGAGGAGAAGAGACGATAAATTAGGTGGGGAATTGGACGCGGGATTAATTCATTTGCGGCCGAGTAAATTGGGGCGTCGGATAATCCCGCGGCAGGAGGGGAAAAAAAACGCGCCGACTAATAAATTTGTCCGCTAATTCGGCTCCTAATTGCCGCGCCGTCGGAATCCGAACTGCTCGGGCCCGACCCTAATCCGGCGACAAATCCGGCGCGAGACCAATCCTCTTAGCCATTGTTTCGCCGTCGGAAGCCACAGGCCGTTCGGACGCGCGCTCTCTCGCGCCCGTTCTCGGGCTGCGCCTAATCCCGGCCACCCGGGGTCTGCCTTAACAAGCTTATTACCTCCGGCTTTGCCTTCCCGCCGCCGACAAATTGCCCGCGCCCGCCACTTCCTGGGGGACCATCCGACTCGCCGCTCGGCGATCGCCCGCCCCGTCAATTACCGCCGCCGTTTCCACCCGGCCCGCGCCCAAAGGGGGAAGAATCGGGCCGGAGGGGGAGGAAAAGGAGAAGCCCGGGAGACGGTGCGAAATGACGGAGCGAGAAGGGAGACGTCGGGTGACGTTTCCACACCCGGCCGACGCTAATTGTGAGAAATGCGGAGCCGCACGCAATCTGTCAGAGGAGCGTCGCCGATAACGACGATTACCGGGATTAGGCGCGGGCGCCGGGTCTTTCCGGCCTCCCCCCAATCGTCGGACGGCCTCCCCCCTCCCGCCGGCCGACAACAGATTCGGCCCGCGGGCTTATTCTCCTTCCTTTTCCCAGTTTTGGTCACGTTTCTCGCACTCTCCTCGGATCTGAATCACGAGACGGCATTCGAACGGGATTTGGCGTCGTCATCAATCTTCCCTCCGCCCGTGCACTCGTCGCGCGCGTCTACACCGGGCGACCTTCGCCCCTTTTCTTGCGGCAAACTTCGTCGTCCTTCCCGAGGAATTTCCTAATTTTTGCGCCCCATTTTCTCCTTCCCGCAACCCGCGAAATGTATCGGAAAACGTCCCGGAAGAAAAATTCCCTCTCCTTTTTCCTTTAGGCAATTACGTTCTCGGGATGCCATTTTCCGCTATCGGAGTCCTGGAAACGTAACCGGGCTTTGACGTCACTTCCGATATACTGCACGGGACGTCGATTAGACCTGGGCGATCCTTTAGACCCGAATTTCGCTAGCTTTTTCGGGAGAAGAAAACCTGCAACTCACTTTTGCGGTTCCCGGATGCGGTAAGAAGGAAGACGAAACGAAGAACGGAGGGCGCGAGGACGGAAACGGTAACGGGGCTATTCGTCCTCCTATCAGTTTGTTTTCGAGATAAACTACCAGGGGGGGAAATAGCGTCGCCTTATCTTAATCCGTTTTATCTCTTTCAAGGTCCGAATCTGCACGAGCAGCGGCCGAGTTCCGGTCCGGATCCGGTAGAAACCGCGTGCCATTTTGCGGGAGGAAGAACGGGAAAACGCGCGCGACGTCTGGAGAAAAGTTTTCGGGGGACGGGGGCGAATGGTTGGCGCGCGCGACCGGGGGAGGGCGAGCGAGCGTTCACTCACCTTCTCTAGATCGTTTCGGAGTCACCACTCGAAAGGCACTTCCCATCTCGCCGAAGCTGACGCCTCCGTTTTCGGACGACTTCTTGGCCCGGTCGGACGTCACTGGTCCGCTCATGACGTCACACACGTCCGAGGCCCACGGCCACTTTCGCGTCCGGAGTGGCGGGATGGCCGGACGGTCCCGAAACGGAGCCTTTCTTCTGCCTCCCGGTTGGGGGAGTCGGGCCGGTGACGGGCGCTTGCCACCCGCTTTTTTTGACTAGAATTAGCGTAGGAACCGGAACGAACGAAAGGAGCGTCGGTCGGAAGATGCGAAGAGAGCGACGAGCATCCCGACGGCGGACGGCCGCTACCAATCTGCTGCTTTTTGACGACTGGACCAGTCAGGAGTGCGGCGCCCGAGGAGCTGACAGCCAATAGGATGGCTGCGCGGCACCTACACTCGGCGGTGGCTCCACGTTTCTCGCCGGCCTCTACCCATTCGCTCGTCCGAGCGCCAACGCTTCGCGCCCGTATCTTCTTCTTCTTCTTTCGCTTTATCACTCGCGCCGCGCTGGCGCGCAACGCCACGCGTCGGCTTCCGAGTCCGGGTTCGAAAGGAACTCAGAGAAAGAGCGCCCAGGAGAGAGTATGAGAGGGAACGGGAGAGTTGAGTCAGAGCTTTAAATGGGTGATAATGGCAGTAATGGAGGGAATTAGGGGGAAGGCCCGGCACGCGTCGACACCCGACGCGGGACGCTAAATCTTCCGAGAGATTTCCACCCGTCGTCGCCTGTTTACAGGAAAAGTGGGGTTATTTCTCGTATTAAGGGCCGGAGAGGGCTAAAAAAAAAAAACATATATGTATAGGCGCGAGGAAGCCCGCCGAAGTAGTCTTTCGGCCGGAGGGGGGCACGTGATAGAAAAGGCCCGAGACGGGATTTAATCCGGTCCCGGAACGAAGCGACCGATTAAATCGGAAAGACGACACCTGGCGCGGTTGACGGCCGGAGGCGAATAAAAGTAGCGACGCGGTTAGCGGCATCCGTTTTTCGGTAGCGTTTTTGGGTGCTCGACTGCCCTTCCTCGTTACGCTCTCTCCTCTATCAAATATTCATGGCCTTCCATTGTGTACAAATAAAGGGAGTTGACACCGCCCCGACTGCGACGCCCTCTGGCCGGCGACAGGTGAGCCGTGTTCACGTGACCGCCGTTGTTACTCCCGTGTCGGTCTTTGCGGGGGCGGAAGACGCGTCGCCCGTCGGGGGCGCGCGCGCGCCACTTCCGGGCCCACGAGGGGGAAGGAGAAAATCGCGGAAACGTCCGTCCGTCCGTCCGTCCTATCGAGGGTCGATACTTCGTCGTGTGTGCGAGTCGACGGCCCGGCGGGGCGCGGAAGTGGCACTCGGGATCGAAGGGTGGCACGCTAGCCAATCCGAAAATTCAATCTTTGGATGTGTTTACAGAACAATCGTAGAGGAAATCGATGGCGACTTTCATTTACTGAATCAACAAAAAGCGCAATTTGCATTTGTGTTTGTCTTTCCAAAACGATCCAATCCTCTAAATTAGCCTCTGCCCATCTAGATAATTGACTTCCGCCGGCCCGAATCCGATCGGGGCCTTTCCGTCGGGGAGCCAACGCCCCCTTTCGGGAAAAGATCGGGACGAAAACATTCGAGATGTTTACGAGATCTCGCACACTCGACACTTTACGAGAACCGACGGATGGCAATTTATTTTATTAATTTATTTTTTTTATCGAATCCCGATCGGGATTCTCGATATATTTTTACGGAAATAAATTTCTGACAAATCAAAAAAAAAAAAAAAAAAAAAAATGGCGGAATGGCATCCGTGACGTCACAAATCGTAACCACGTTCGTGACCAGAATTTACCGGCAGGGGGCTCATCCGTTAATGTCTATAATTAATAATTAGGACGGACAAGGGACGATGGACGAAGACTCGATTAGTAAATGGACGAATTGTTAAAAACCTTACTGATTTTTAATACGATATTTTCTTTATTAAATCAATAAAAATATTTTTAAAAAATAAAAAATACGCCAAAATCCCTTTCCGTTTGAAGCCATTTTCTCTACGGAAGGACACGGAGAGCTTTCGCCGTTCTCCAACTAACACCATTAAGCAAATAAGATTTCATCACATTTTATCGACTTAAAACATTTCATTTAAACTTCTATTGAGAAAAACAACGGAGAATTAAGTAACGTAACCATTGGTTTCGTTACTTTTATCCTCGTATCGATCCACAATCCGTTTTAATGTTTACTATTTAATCTGTAATCGCTTTAATTTTCTATCCACATAGTTTTGCTTTCTCCTATTACTTCTTACTATTTATTAACCCGTCCACTGCATATTATTACATGTAACCATATCTGGAACGTGCATAACTCGTTGCTTACACGTTATTCTTTCTGTTTATAGTCGCATATTTTGTGTAATTGCGGAATTTTCCGGTTAATAATGGTCCTACGTTGTTCTCGTCCCGGTATTGTCTCTACCAATTTCTATCCGGCCTGGGCATTCTATCGTGAAAGAAATGAGCTCGTTTTCGCCGGGACCACGTGTCTTTTTTTTTTTTTTTTTTTTTGGCAAATCCACGAGCCGCTGCACGTGATGTAACTTTTCAAAAGTCGAAATATTAAACAATTGTCGGCCGGTGTTCATCACCATCGATCGGGTGCAGGTAGGCATACGATCGTTAGTAAGAGAATCGTTAACCGTTAGTCATTTTTCGGCTCTCTCTCAAGAAGTAAAAGATAACAATGGACGGGAAGTAAATGACAAAAGTTACTATCTGAATTTATAACGTTATCGATTGTTACCCAATTTCGTATCCTGTGTCGCACACCTTACCCCGTGATTCCCTCTCTCGTAAAACTTTATTCGTAGAAAACAATGGCGATTACCCCTCCCCTCCCCCCATTTTGCATCATAGTACTCTCTTAGTTACGGTTTACTTACGTTATTAAATTAAATCATCGCTAGATTAGTCTAACAAACGATAAGATGGAGGACTCATCGGACTAATCTGGTAATTAAATACAGCACTAATATCTTAATTTAATTATTATTATTATTATTATTATTTTTAAAAGGATCGTGCCAGTTTGAAAAAACTTGTCTGGGATCTCGACGTATTCTTACGTCAGTTAAGGGGCGTGTCGTTTTCTAACAGTCAACCAATTAGAGTTGGAAAAAATTCAAAAAATTTTTTAAACAGCTAGATAGAAAAATATACGGTGGACGTAAAATGTTACGAAATTAAATTAAATAATTAAAATTTAAAAGTTTAATCTTAATTTTACTTTAGAGAATGTTTTTAAATAATCGAAATGTTATTAAATGTTCGTTTAGGTATTTTATTATTATAATTATTAACCGAATCGATTCCTTGTTTTCTAGGGAATCGATCAATGTACAATTTGTACTACAATCTCGTCCATAAATTAATTTTAAATCTTTTTTTCCTCTCTCTCTCTCTCTCTCTGCCTGAAAGAGTCTTTACTATTTTATCTGTTAGCCGTAACATCGTAACTTTCATGAAATTAATTTATTTAAAAATAATTTTAAAAATTTTAAATTTGTTAGAAATTATTAATAAATTATTTCTAATATAAAATCACAATAAATCGAATAATTTATTACTGTTTAAGTAACGGGTTTACGCTCCGTTACATCGCGCGCTACCGATGCTACGCGGCGCGTAACAATAGGAAGATTGTCTTGCCGGCACTCGTTACTCCAAGATGTTATCAAGATGTTACGCTATTCTACAGACAATAGGGCTTATTCCTAGAGAGGTTACGATTAGTATTATACTCTTTTAAAGTAGAGTTATTCGGGAATAAGAAAGATGACTCGAAACACCAATTGAATCTCATATTTTAAAATCCCATATGGGTTCATAATACATGAGTTACGAGAAGATTTAAAAATAAAATCGTTACACCAGACATTGTATTTTATATTATTCTAAGCCCTTTTGTTTCGTTGTCGTTCCCTAGGGGAGACGAGTATCGAGTCGCTGCCGACACAAAAATAATCGAAGTTTTTCTGTCTGAAGAGCGCGTAAGGATATTTTATTTTTGAGAATTTCTTAAACAGAACGTTAATATGTCTCTGCACGCGGCTTACGTAATCGAGATCGTCAGCCGTTTCGTCACTCCGTCACTCATCGCAATATTCTCACTAAACGAGAACTTGTCAGTGTATATCTAGACACGACTTTCTCTTGTTTCCGGCCTCCACACGCCGACAAATGGATTCGAGAAACATTTTCGGACAGGAGTATATTGTAAAGAGAAAGGGCAAAAGAAGGGGCACGGGTCGACCCATCGACTAAAAGTGGGCCTAACGATCGGGACGTTGGCGGCACCATCTTCGATCGCCTTTGAATTTTTCATGGGCTCTACCGCAGACGGAAGCCTCCGTCGATACCTTAATTACGCACTCATCCGATCGAAATGCGTAACATCCCCCCCTTTTTTTTCTTTTTACTCTGCCCAAAATCGAGTTACGCGTTACACGTCTAAGTTACGTTGGCAAATCTCTCTTCCTTTTCAGTTAAATAAAAAAGGGAGGGGGAAAGAGAAGAGCGAATTCGAACCCGACATCAAATTTAACTTCACCATGATTTTCTGTTTGCAAGAACACCGAGAGATTACTTCTTAGGAGAGGTTTTTTTCCCCCTACCAAAAAAACAAAATGGACACAACGCTCTCGTTTAAATTGCATTTCCTATTTGTATCCCATAATTAGTTAATCGATCGATTCTCTTCCAACAAATGTTTTCCGTAACAAAATATACGGAAATTCGATCTTTCCGCCGTTCTGGAAGTGTCTACACTCTTACAAAATGGATCGAAAGGGGAAAACCATCCGGGAGGAATGAAGAAAATAGACGTGAAATATTCCCAGTTAGGACGATCAAACTTTCGAGAGCGACTTCATCCCTTGTTTCTTCATAGAAAGGCAAAAAAATAATAATTATTCGTTAAGATTTCTCCTCTGTTACTAATTGCAAGATGAGATTTCAATGAAAATTTCTCAAATGAAGACAAATCTTACGTAGAATCTTGGTTTTCCTAACTTCCCATTTAGAAAACCTCAAGAATTCCGAGCTGTGGCGCCGTCTTTCCTAAAGATAAATCGTTTTCTATCCGGACAGACAAACCTAACATATCAAGCTGGAAAGAATCGGACTAACCAATGATGCCACTAAACTTTTTAAGGATCCATCGGGCGAATTTCGAGACGTTATCGAACTTGGTAGACCAGAGATTCCATTGGGTTGTTCGAAAACTCGTAAATTTCAGAGGGGTGAGAGGCGTTCTTCGAGTCTAA